TAAAGCAACTAAACGGCACACAACATCGCCATAGTCATACGAAGACAATAGGATGCCTTTAAGTCGGCGCATTTATGCGATGTCATGATCCAAATAGATTCAGAATCGAAAAACCTAGACTGTCGTAAGGGGGAAAGAGCGACAGTGGACAAAAGATGATAAGAGGTAAACGCGTCAGCAGTACGCCAGTACTCAGTAACGACAATTCGCTTCCGCGTAACCACCACCAGTCGCACGTGGGCTAAGGATACTGCGAGGGTAGCCCGGTCCCTACACTGGCTTTCACTCGCGCCCTCGGATTACAAGGCAGGTTTATGATCCTTAAAGCCACTCATTGGGAGGTAATTGTGAGACCACGCCGACCTGACTGCGATCCTTTTCCTTACCTCTTATTGGTTTCATTCATATATGCTGACTCGTAACTAATTTTATTGCCACTGGTTGAAGAGTATATGCATATATGTGGTTTATGTTGACGTTGATGTTGCATAAATTATGTTTCCTCACCTCAGTTGTGCTAGAGTGACTCCGCTCAAGCCGCATCACACTAAATCTGTATGAAGTTTTTATTTGTTCAGTTCTGTTAATTGTCCGCATATCATCTGTTTATTTTGCGCTTCTCTTCACTTTCGGTTTTCGTCGATTGATATCTCCGACGTAACACTGCCAAGTAAACTTATCACTTATTATTTGTTTACCATAAACTATCCGCATTTCATATCAGCCTACATGTCTCAATTGCATGTTTTACAAAACCTACTTTCTCGGGCTCATACTCTGCTCACTCGTTGTATTCCTCCTCATTCAATTCTATTACAATTCATTCAGCGAGCAATAGATCGAATCCTCTGGCCAGAAGGTTTCGATGCCAATCCAAACAACACGAACTCGGTGAAACAGTAAGCCCCTTGGTTTGAAACGTTTATCAAACCTTTGGACACCGTCGACTTATTGCCGTACAGCGAATTGAGGAAGCTTGCGAACTGCGTGTCTCCTGATGTATAAGACTACATTAAAGAGTGCACAACCCACGAACTCACCACCGAAACTCTCATATATATATATATATACTTTATTTATTTAGTTCACTTTACTTTTTCTGTTTGATATATATAGGTATATATATATCAAACAGAAAAAGGAAATCTTTGCACGTCCTATCCTAGCTGCTAGGAAGCAGAAAGTGGACGAGACTCTGGACAATTTCATGCAAAAGTTGAAATCATTGGTCCAGAATCGTGACTTCAAAATGGTCACGGCAGAAAAGAACCGCGAAGATGCCATTTGAGATGCGTTCATAACTGGGCTTCACTCTCAAGCTATATGTCAACGGCTCTTGGAAAAGGTGTCGCTCGACCTACATACCGTTTTTCAACAGGCCCAATTCCACGAGATGGCTTGTGGTCAGTTATAACAGTCAGAAAACGCTTATGATGCATCTACTGCAGGTCAGTCCGAAAGTTTGCAAGTGTCAGGCGCCTCATTAGTCCAAGGTAACAACGTAGCCGCCACTGTATTTCAATACAGTGTGTTTCTTCTGCGGGTTCAACAGGCATAGCCTAACTCAATGCCATGCGTGCGGCACAATCTGCAACGGTTGTGGAAAAAATGAAGATTACCAGGTTTGTCGTTCCTCATCCAAAAACACTGCTTCGGCTTTCCATGGTTGTCTATCCTTTATCACAGTCGCAATGGCGCCAAACGGTCTTCCCACCCTACCATCGGTTTACTCATCAACAGCGTTTCAGTAAAAGCTTTAAATGATACTGGATGCACTGAGAGTTACATTACCACTTCGGTTGTCAAACCGTTCAGCTGGAGAATCCTTGGTTCCCATTACAAGAGTTCGATGGGTAGCACTCATTAAACAAGTTTCACCAGTGGTCATTGTCTTATCAATGTGCAGTATTAAAATCATCATTACACAGGCGTAGTCTCAAATCTTTGTTCAGATGTATTCTTAGGACACGGTTTTCTTACGCGGCAGCAATGTATCCAAATGCCATTCTTTGGTGAATAACGCCCACTCACTGTGTGCGTTATTGACCGCCAATATGGATCCTCCCACGAAGAGAAAATGAAGATTTCACCTACAAACTAATCTCCACAAAATTGAAGCGGCATTCTACTGCGGATGAGAGCTTCATTTGTATTGAAATATAAAAGCTTCTTAAGGACGGAATTATCGAACCATCGGTATCCTCGCAGTGGTTGTAGATTACAGCCAAACTATCCACTAGTACACTCGTCTGGATGCGCACGCCCTGCTTAGAATTGCGCCCTTACCGATGAAATTTCTCGTTACTCAGTGTAAAGCATCTCAGACTTAAAGACTGCATATCATCAGATATCTAGTAAGGTAAAAGTAGGAAAATTTAAGGCATTTAAAGCCTTTGGAAATCTCTTCCAGTTTTGTTGTATACCTTACGGTGCAACCAATGTGGTCGCCTGCTTTCAAAGTGCCATCGATAAAGCAGTAGCCGGCGAAAATTTAAACGTGACATGTGTCTAGATTGGCAAAATATCGTTGTGTCGCAACCAAGGAAGAGTAGAATGTAATGTAACAAAGTCTCACAGAGTCACAGGAAAACACAACCTAACATTCAATGAAAGCAAAAGCATCAAACCTTCGAAAAAGATAAGACTATTGGGATAGGAAGTTTCACAAGAGCTTATTCGGCCAAACCCACATCGACTACCACATTTGAGATGCCTACCCGTACCCAATGACCCTAACTCCCAACAGCGTGTTGTGGGACGCTTTGCGTATTATTATTCTCCGATAAAATCTATCCGCTAATTGACAATCGCTGCTTCTCTCTCCTCAATCTGGTTTTAGGGACATTCGAGAAGATCAAGAAAGAAATATAAAACTCTGTGGTCGTCTGTCTTTATGAATCAATAGTAGTGGAAACGGATGCATCTGATTTTGCTGTTGTCGCCAAAATAACACATAAACAGTAGGCTGGTGCGTAGCACTGACGTTTCCTTGCGGCGTAATTGCCACCAGTCGCAAGTGGACTAAGGATACAGAGAAGGTTGCTTGGTCCCTGCGCAGCCTCAAACCCGCGCCCTCAGACTACAAGGTACGCTTGTGATCCGTAAGGTTACGGGGCCGGCAACACATACACATTAACAATTAACAGACGACCAGTTGCCATCTTCTCATGAACGCTGTCCACCAGTAAACGACATCATGCTGCTGTCGAGAAGGATACACATGCCATCGTTGATTCCGTCCGCAAATGTCAGCATTACTTAATAGGCATCCATTTTGCGATTATTATTGAGCAGAGATCTGTTTCATTCATACTCAACCTCAATCAGAAGGGGGAGATCAAAATGATAAAATTCAGCGCTGGCGCGTTGAACTCTAATGATTTAGATTACCGCAATGGAAGGGATAACATGGCTGCAGATGTATTATCATGCACATGTGGCTCATCACAAGCACACCGTATGACACTCCAGGAAATACAAGATACCTGCGTCAACCCGAGGCCGCCAGAATGTTTCATCTGGTTTGTTCACGGAAACTGCCTTTTCCAATCGAAAACATGAAAGCGATGACCGCTCGCCGCAGTATTTGCGCTGAGATGAAACGCCGATATTACAAATCGTCCGGAACGTTGATCAAGACGGCATACCCCTCAAAAGGTTAAACATAGATTTAAAGGAAAGTTTGCTGTCGGCGACAAACAAGAAATATCTGTCCACTGTCGTTGACAAAAACGCTCGCTTCATGTCTGCCTTCGTATGTAGCAACATGACCATATCAACTGTGATTAGCTGTCTAATAAAGCTGTTAGCAGTCTGCATGCAACTTTATATGTATTCTGAGCGTGGTTCATCGTACATGTCTCAAGGGATGCGTCATTTGCTAACTCAGAAAGCTATTGCGATCAACCGGACAACGCCGTACAGCCCTCAGGGTTGGATGCATCAATGGCGTCATCTGGAAATCAAGTAGTCTTTCACTTAGAGCTAAAAGTCTCGAAATTACTCATTTGGAAAGTGTACTGCTGGACGCCTTGCATTCTACTCGTTCCCCCCTGTGCGACAACACAAACCTCACTCAGCATGAAAGACGCCTTGTATAACCGTAAATCAACATCAGAGATCTCGCTACCGAGTTGGCTGAGTGTGCCAGGACCCATGTTGCTGCCTCGTATTGTGAGAGCCTCAAAATACGAACCATTAGAGGATGATATTAAACTATTGCATTGAAATCCCCAGTATGCCCGTATTCGATTCCCGGATGGAAAAGGAAGATACTGTGTCGCTGCGCTATCTGGGTCAGTCTAGTAAGCCTCCTATTCCCCCTCCCATAGATCTCCAAAACGATCCTATCACAAACACAACAACGGACACTCAGGTGATCCAAAATGATCCTTTTGGTCCAACTAATCCTTCACACTTTTTTGAACAACAGCAGAGAACACGAGCATACAATCTGCGTAACCGAGAGGCGTAAAAGCTTCCACTTATAGGGGGAAGGATGATAAATAAACTTCTTGTTTACCATAACGTTTCCGCTTTCAATTTCAGCTTACATGCACCAATTGCTTACTAAATAAAGCCTACTCTCTCGGGCTCAGACTTTTTTCAATCATCGTATTCTTCCACATTCAATTCCAGTACAAACATGAAACATAGACAAACCACAAAACTCCACTAAAGCCGTAGTTGCGGCTATCGTCATGGGGCATATGAACTGATTAGGTTATGGGGGACGCGGAATAATCTGTTCACAGGTGCGATATTCGGCATATTGGATGTGAAAGCTAAGTAGTGGTATTAGCCTGCCCAAGAAAGTAGGGTGAAAAACGCAAGCCAGAGTTCGTGACTCAGAATGTCCGAGAGGATAACGAATGTACGGTGAATGAACGATTCATAGTTCGAGTTGGAAGACACACCACAAATGATAAAAATGCATTAAATGCGTGGGCCACTGCAAGGCTGTGGTAAGGCAGAAGATCTAATGTGAAAACAGCACTGACCTCAGCAATTGTTGCGGGTTGAACGGTATAAGGCATCCTTGGGTTGACTGCTTCCAGTTTCCAACCGACTTTGAACTCATGTGCCGGGGGATCAGTACGGTACAGAGGGTGTCCGGGACGAATCTTTTTTAAGTCCAAGAGACCGTCCTCGCCGGATAAGTGAACAAATGCTGAAAGAGCGTTCCGGATAAAAGCATCCAAATTGGAAATTTTTCGGTCTGGCATCAATCCAGGTGGAGGAGAGTACGTGAGACCGTGGAATTTCCCCCAGCCTAATGGATGAACGCGCCGATGCAGATAAAACAGGGTGAGTGTTGAACCATCTTTAGAAGATCCTGTGGGCATCATTTTGTCGTCCATTCCGAACCACGACACCTTAACGCGTCCACCCACATTCATTAGAACCTTGGTAGAAAATAATGATCATGAAAAATGAGGGAAAAACTTACCTTTGTCGGCCAAACAGAGCCGGGGTTATCTTCGTGCTCGCACTCGAGGTAGCCACCTACTTGGATTGTTTCATAATAATATAAAACCCGTTGTTCGAAGAAAATGTTTAAAACAGAGCGCTTTTTCAAACTTTCTACCCAATCGGTAGGTACTGCAAACTCCGCTTCAGAAGTAAAGTGAGAAAGATGAGCGGGCGGAGACCAATCTATTCCGATGCGCTGCACTGCACTGATCGGGCGGATGATGCTCCAATCACGACCTTTAACATCGAACCAGAAGCCATTGACCGATGAACACGAAGCCTCGGTAAGTGATATGGACTGATCTGTGTGATTTGAGGAGGCAGAATCAGGAAGGCACCATTTGAATAGAATCAGGTGACCGGAAATAGAAACAACTTCAGCAGGCCACCATTTTGAGGCGTGCGATTCCAGAGCATTTGCAGAAAAATGCGAAGCAACCTCAACAGTTTCGCCTTCTCGAATTAATGGATGCAGGCTCTGGCAAACATGGTCAAACAAGCTGGCCGGAGATATTTCAGCTCCAGTTTCTGAGAGGTAAACATGCCAATTGAAAGACATCTTGGAGTGAAGGATTGGATTATCAAAGGCTGATTTAGCCTGGATCCATCACGTCTGCCTCAACCGCGCAGCTATAAGAGACTGAAGGAGTGAAAAATAGGTGGATTCTCCGGATAGACAGAAACAAGCACAAACAATTGTGAACAACGAAACCGAATTAACTTAAGCGATACACTGATAAACAAAGCAAAAAATGACGTCAGGTTCGGATGTCAGCTAATGTACGAGCATCAGGTGTGATTGTCGCTATCAAAGCTGATGTCCTCTGATAACGAAAGCAGCGAGTGGAAACAACGACCGAAAACCCCAGCGGTACAAAACGAAAAAACCGTAGGGTCGCCGAACCGAGGCAACAACGGGTGCAAAAGCAGCGCAGTAGTAATATTCGCTAGTGTCTCGGTGTCATATACCAGAAATAATGGTGACATCTAACAGGGAATAAGAGAAGTGAAAACGAGATCCGATGTGGAACTTAAGTCGAGCGCGCCTATAAGATGGGAGAAGAGAGAGTAAGTTTAAGGGTGAAGTTGCACAGGTAACTACGTAAAGATGCATGGCTAAGGAGCGTCGGCAGAACGCCAAAGCGCCGCACCGACGCTCCATTGCCACGCTGCCATCATCAGTCGAGCGCAGATCAGAAATACTACAAGGCCGCTCGCATCTATGCAGATTCGAAATGGCGTGAAACCCTATACTTTCGAACAGTGGACGTCAAGGAGTTAAACCTGACTACTCCCTCATTAGGGGTTGCAACTTCACAGCAAAGCATTTTGTTGAAGGTAATAAACATCCAAGCATGATTTCCAGTTGCATCGGCAACTACCATTGCGTGCGACCGATGGTAAGGGAATAAGCTAAGTGCATTAAGCACGAAAGTTATCCGAGTACTAAATTTCAGAAGCAACGGAGGCCTAATTTACAGTCGCCACGTCTCGGATCCGAGTTTACGCGTCTGTATAGTCTTAGGCACCATAGTAGTAGCCTAGTCCGAGTAAAACCACTTGCGGTTGCAAGGCCAAGACTGGAGTACTGCTGACTTTGTACAGCGGCTAAAAGCGATGACAGAAGAATGGTACCGCGGTGTGATAAGGAGCTTCTGATGCCAAGCTATTGAGCACTTCGACGAGGTGATGGGGATAGCACAAATCCACTAATACAAGGATGCTATGATACTGCAAAGGGAAAGCTAGTAATCAAAATCCAGAGGTGAGTAAAAAACAAAATAAGGTGACCGATCTTCGCTAATCCACCTTGCTGCATGTGAAACATGTGACCCGCTTAAAGTGAGTATCAGACGCTGTAGACTGACACACGATGTTATAGTCGTAGTTTTAGGTGAAGTTATGTTGCAGAAAAATCAAACCCAGACGGAAATTAGGGGCAGTTGATAAATTCAACGATCTTGGCAGCTGCATTAGAAGAAATGGGTTTAGTATGACTACTGAAACCAGCCTATGAAGTGTGAGCTAGGAATGCCAAGATGCGACGGTATCTTTGAGGTCATAAAGGAGGCTTCCTTGGTTCTAAAGGCCGGGTACAAAGGATCACAGTTAGAACCGCCATCCTGTACAGTATTGAAGATCTCAAGTGGATTCAGGTTATTAAGCATCTTCATGTGATACCAACACTTCCGCAGCGGAAAGTTGAGAAGTAACAAATAGACTACGACGGTCAGATTAGTTAGACTGAGCGCCTCGTGGCTTCAGGTATGTTGAGGTATTTTTTGGAAAAAAAGATGAGTATGAAGTCTTCAATGACGAACCTATATGTTGCTTGACTATTTCTATATCTAGGACCCGCAATGCACCCATATTGAAACGAAAGAATATATGCAAGCAACAGGCGTCAATGGCGAGCCTGTAGCAATATTCCAGCTGGATTTTTCGTTAAAAGGTATACGGTGACTAAATTTTAAAGAAGCATGCCTACAGGAGAGCTAAGGTCAGGTAACATGCCGGAACCCTCAACGGAAGCCCAGACAAACCCAAATCAAAGCTCGTTGGTTAGCACCCAACAAATGAAAAATCCCACCCACTTGGAGTCGGTCAAGGACAAGACTTACGGCTTAGAACTAACCAACGAGGGCGTCCTCCAGAATCTCTTATATTCTGGTAGCTCTGAATCTTTAGCAACATCACCTACATTGATTGACAATGATACTACATTTCACTGCGGTCAACGGTGGGTTTTGTATCCTGTTTTGGAAAGTGGGCTGACCGCGGTTCGAAAAACTGCATCGCTTATCCGTGGTGTTAGTAGAAAAACGCCGTAAGTTATTGGTGGACCAAGTTTGATTACAGAGGTGCGTGGCTGGAGCCTCAAAGAACCTGTTCTGTACATACCGCTTTATCTTCTAGTGAAGTCTACTCGTCTATGATTGCAGTGTCCACATGATGAGGTGACATGGTGCAACGTCAAACCCACTGCCTTGCGGTAAGGTATTTGAACCAAAGACTGGTTGAGAACCCTAACCGTTCTCCTGTCTAGGCCTGGGCAACCTGACAGTATCCAGTCCACGCAATACTATGAATTTTTCGTCAAACAATTTCTTGAAGCTCTGGCCACCGCAGAGCATAATCAACGGTGCTCTATCTAGTGCATCAAACAGGGTAAATAGGGGTTTGGATGCTACCACTCAAGCCTATACATCGTCTTATTCCCCCTCTTACGCTTTTTCACTCTTAACCGGACGGTAACACGGAGCGTCATTTCTGCCCTGTGGACAAGCCTATGTCCAACCAAGCGGTCCACTCCAGTTCAACGGCTTCCATTTGGAGCCCTCGATCCTCCTTCAGATTGGCATGCCTCAATGTACGCACATTACTATAGATCGGCCAACAAGCAGCACTTGCCAGAACTTTAGAAAACCTCTCGATCAATATCTGCTGCTTATCGGAGACCCGCCTGCAAGACTCGAGCTCTGTGCTCATTTTGCGATCCCCTTCAGGTGACACCAGCAGCACTTTCTTATTACGGCTATTCGGTGATGATGCAGCTCCGAGCACCAGCCAAGATGGTGTTGGCATTGCCCTGAGTCCCCGGGCTGAAGCTGCTCTGGTTGATTGGATTCCAATCAGTAGCCGGTTGTGTGCGGTCCGATTGGTTGGCTCGTTCAAAGCTTCGAAGCCGCACGGGACTAACAGGTGTTTATTCGTCATCGCTGCCTATGCACCAACAAACTCTAACGATAATTCGGTAAAAGAGGATTTCTACCGCCAACTGAACGAGCACGTTCGCCACAGAAGAAACTCGGACACTGTAGTGCTGGCGGGGGATCTGAACACTCAAGTTGGAAACTTATCCACGGATGAACTGCATCTGGGCGGCCAACATGATGTAGGCTCCCGTAATGATAACGGTGAGCGGTTACTCCATTTGTGTGAAGATGCCCGCTTATTTCTTGCGAGCATTAACTTCCGACACAGCACCCGCCGGAGGGTGACGGCGCCCACCAGCCTCGAACCAGCTATGGACGCAAATCGACCACATTGCGATAAGTTACCGATGGAGAGGCTGCGTCCAGAACTGTCGCTCAATTTGGAGCACAGGTGTGGACACCGACCACGCACTTGTATGTGCTGACATGCGGATGCGGTTTGGCGGACGCCCACGACGATGCTGTGAGCGCATTGACACCAGCCAACCGACGCAGCCAGCTGTTCTGAATGCCTATCAAAGTACGCTGGCATGGGGTTAAGTAAACGCTCACTTGAGACAATTGACAGTCACCGGTCGCATGTTCACCAGACCTTACTAGCAGCAGGTAAATCCTCATGTGGTAAGTCTAATAGCCAACATGGGCATTGAGTCTCTTCGCGGTCTCTGGAACTTATCGACGCTCGCCGGCATATTCCGGCTGGAAGCGAACCCAATGAAACTCGCAGAGATCCGGGCAAAACTCCGTGCTAGCCTGAAGAGAGACCGCGAATCCTTGGGGTGTTTTCGTGCGTAAGAAATGGAAGTAGCCGCTGCCCTTGGTAACCATCGAAAGTTATTCCGTCTGATAAGGAAAACAGGCACAAGAGACCTGGTGTTAGTGAAACTGTACGTGACGAGAGTGGACAACCGATCCACAATTTGTCAAAACGTTTGGAGCGTTGGACTGAGCATTTGTAAAAGCAATTTAATCGGACGGAATTGTTCGATTTCTCAGCAATCAGTGATCGCCCTGCTCCACGGGCTGTGCGTTTGGATTCGCCCTCTCGCTCAGAAGTCAAGCGTAAGATCGGACTGTTGAAGTTGAACAACGCCGCGGGACCAGATGATCTTCATCCAGCCCTCTTCAAATTCTGGGGCCCTGCTCTTGTTGATAATTTACACGAATTACTAGTGGAACTGTGGGAGTAGGAAACTGACCCTACCGGCTGGAATCGCTCCGTTACTGTTCCCATCTTCAAAGGAGGCTCGTGCTCGGAATGCGGCAACCATAGAGGAATCAGTCTGATCCCTACCGCCTCCAAATTGCTTGCCTCTGTAATCCTTCACAGACTGACTGGCGCTCGTGAAAGCCAGATTCGTGAGGAGCAAGCCGGGTTTCATCGGGGTCGTGGCTGCATCGACCACATCTTCACTTTGCGTCAATTGTTGGAGCACTGTGACACATATTGGTGGCCCACCATAATCGTGTTCCTCGACATCAAAAGTGCCTTCGATTCGGTTGATTGATGTGCCCATTTGGACTATCTAGTAAGGAAAGGTGTACCTGAGAAATATGTAAATATTATCCGAGCATTATACGCGCGTAGCACGGGCAGAGTGAGGGCTTACCGCAAGCTATCGTCGCCCTTCAATATCTCCAGCGGTGTGAGACAAGGATGCTCGTTGTTATCTTCCCACTTCAACTACGCTATTGACGAAGTCATGGACATGGCTTAGAAGGTGTGGAGCTACTCCCAGGAGAACGACTTCTTGACTTGGAGTATGCAGACGACATTGCCCTCATCTGTGACAGCTCCCAGACGTGCCAAGCCGCGCTGGACAGATTAGCACTGGCTGTCAGCCGCTTCGGGCTTTGCTTTGCACTTCGATGGTGCAAAGCGTTCCTCCAAGATTGGCAGGGATCGCCTCCTGCGCTGACCCTTG